TAGAAGTTTTATTTATTTATTATTAGATATAGTCTAAAGATATAAATACAAAGTTGGTCTCATAATAGTATTAAGATGTTGCAGTATTAAAATGTAAATATTTATAAGAGAGGGTACTTTAGCCTACAAAATACGGTAATCAATAAATTAAAAATGAATATAAATATGGATTTCTGATATTGATATCAGTATTAATACTAATATTAGGGTATTAATTAAATTTAGATGTCCTGATATCTATAGATAAAGATCTTACTCTGTATTATATTTTTATAAAAAAAATATTTAAATAAAAAAAATATAGTATTCTGATATCTAATTAGTAGTGCCAAAGAAAAAATATATACTTTGAGATTTTAAATTAATAATTTATCAGATCCAATCTATTTGATTTTGCAGAGATTGTATCTCATTGCTGCCAATTCTGTTTGCTCCCCAAAAATTGATATTTAATTTTAGAGTACATATATCTAGATTGCTTAATTGTCACATATTACACTGTATTAAAAAAAGATTTATAGATTGCTTTTTTATATTATAATTCATGTGACAATTAAGCAATTTCTAACTCTGATAGGTCCCATCATACATTTCAGGGTTTGGTAGCAATATGATTATAAATTTAAAGCCCCAAAGTGTAATTTTTTCTTGGCAAATACATATACGATGATGTTACGTACTTTGTTTTGATGTATTAATTTTTTTCAAATCTATCGCTATATAAAAGAACAAAAAATAATTAATTCTGGTGTATACTCTTTTTTTCTCTTTCTCTATTTCCTTTAAAGGTAATAAAAAAAATATAAATTCATATTTTTATTTATCAAAATAAGTAATATACTTATTATATTACTTTAAACACATCTTTTTGTAGCTGATACTGCCACAATGCTTCCAATATGAGTTCTTTACATTATTCGAATATTTCTCTCAGAAACAATACTACAAACAATACTGCAGATAAAGGAATAACATTGATGTTTTTAGTATTTAGTGATATTATATATCGGGTAAAGATTTGTAGTACATATACATGTTAAGTGTACTCCTATAAGATACAGATATCGATATCAGATTTAATAACTATCAGTTTTTTTTATCGTGTAGTTTGATATTTTTTTTTGTAGATGAAATAAGACAATAAGGACTGACATTAAAAACCTCAGTGATAAAATCGACAATTTTATAAAAAGTAAACATAGAAAAAGGATATATAGAAAAAGGGCCTATTTGGTAACTTCTAATAGCAACAATAGCAACAATAGCAGCAGTGACAGCAGCAATGACAACAGCAATAACAGCAGCAATAATAGCAACAACAACAGCAGCATAAACAACAGCAGCAACAACAGCAAAAACCACAGCAGCAGAAACTACAGCAGCAGAAACCGTAGTAGCAGAAACAACAAAAACAAACAAGGTGACAAAAAAGTCTCTAAAAAAAGGACCCGATCACTTTCTCCTGAAACAAAAAAAGCATTAAGGGTATGATGACATTAATAATTATCCATATTTCATTTGCATTTAGATATTTTCTCATATTGCTTTAATATCTGTTAATTTTTATTAAAGTAAACTGTATAGATATCGGGTGCTTTTATCTATTGATTAATTTAAATTTATTATAATAGAATGATATTAAGATTTCATTTTCCAGATTAAAAGAATCTGAAAAACCTGTCCCATTCCAAGTTTAGTCAGAATTCAAGCAGAAATTCCTCAAAAATTCCTTTAAAATAGTGAAATGTGATATAAGAAGGTACCAGGTGGAAGATCACCAAATACTCAAAATTATTAAGAAACACCACCGGCATCAACATGAAAAGCATTTAAGAAAACAAGACCCTGATAGAAATATGCAAGCACTTGCAAAAAATCAGAAAAATCAAAGGATGACTGTAGTAAGATTTTTTTTTTTTTGCATCAACATTTTGCTTATATGACTATCGGTAAAATTCTAATTATACTTCTCAGAAAATTAACTGTCAAAAAAAGAAGTTCACCTATTTACAAAAAACAAATAGTATGTATCTCACAAATCTCTACCCTCTTGATGTACCAGAGCAACAGACTCTAAATGACTTAAAAAAAATACTGGAAAAAGCAAATACCACAGTGATGAGATATCTGATCTGAAACGGATACTGAACTGGCTAAAGAAGAAGAAAGACAAAATATTCATTCTGAAATTGAACCTGAAAGACATAGCTACATTGTAAAGGTTGTAAAAAAAGAATAGCAATCAGAAACTATAATTATTACAATAGATAATCATATAAATATAGATATTGGTACTAATATATTTTAATATACTTTTAGTTAGAACAGATTTTGTTGCTGTGCGAAAAAACTGCCATAGAACAAAATCAAAATAAGTTGAAAAGGAATCGGTAGAAAAGTGATAAAGTCTCAAATAATTCTATACCACCGGCTGGAGCTTCTAGTTAATGTATTTTACCTTCGATCTCTGGTACAATCTCCCTCATCATGTCTTGTAGTTCTCCTGGTAGCTCTACTGATGCTGGTGGTGCTACCACTGCTGGTCTCTCTGATGCAAGTCCGTGTAGTTTTCCCACTACAAGTCCTGGTCATGCTCCTACTACAAGTTCTGGTCGTGTCTCCACTACAAGTCCTGCTCGTGCCTCCACTACAAGTCCTAGTTGTGTTTTTACCACAAGTCCTAGTTGTGCCTCTGCCACAAGTACTGGTTGTGCTCCCGCTACAAGTACTGGTTGTGCTCCCACCACAAGTTCTGATTGTACCTTCACCACAAGTACTGGTCGTGTCCCCAATATCTGTCATAATAAAAGTGCTGCTGATACATGGTAATGTTCCTACTAAAGAACCTAGTGATGCTCTCAATATCATTATAGTAAAATTTCTAATGTTTCTAATGTGTTATTTATGACTTTTTACTAAAATTTTTGTAATATTTCATTCATTAAATCTCTGAAGATAATACAACAGTTATTAATAACGATAATAATAATAATAATAATGTTATTAGGACAAGAGACAAAAGTAAATCTGTTAGTAGAGATAATTATGAATCGGGTAATGTATTTGCTAATTTTTATATAACTGCTATTATAGTTCTGATCTAAAACTTATATATTTAATCTTATTATTAAAAATTCAGAATTTAATGATAATATGCAAGGTATTATTTAATAAATTGGTATTATTTTTAATTAATTCACAATATATTAATTATTATTTTATAATTCA